ATTATTATCTATAGCAAGTGAAAAAGTAATTATCAGTTGATAGAAAAGGCTTTTGCTTCACTAGTGCTCAGAAAATTGATTTTCTTCATTGTTTTTACCTGTTACTTTGACAGACCTAACACTGAACTTGGTGCAGGGTGTGTAACATCATGTCTACAGCATGCAGAGCCTTGTAAATAGAGGTCCCCCCTTCAGATAGCTTGAAGCTGTCTGGAAGCCTGCTATGATAATGTAATTCTCCTCTTGTACTCAGCACTGGTGAGGCCTCACCTCGAGTACTGTGTGCAGTTCTGGACCCCTCGCTTCAAGAAGGATATTGAGGTGCTGGAGCAGGTCCAGAGGAAAGCAATGATGCTGGTGAAGGGACGAGAGGGAAAGCCTTATAATGAGAAGCTAAGGGAGCTGGGGTTGTTTAGCCTGGAGCAGACTTGGGGGGAACCTTATCACTCTCTACAACTACCTGAAGGGAGGTTGTAGTCAGGTAAGGGTCGGACTCTTCTCCCAGGCAACTAGTGACAAGGCAAGAGGGCATAGCCTGAAGCTGCACCAGGGGAGGTTTAGGCTGGATATTAGAAAGCACTTTTTCATGGAAGTGGTGATCAGGTATTGGAATGGACTGCCCAGGGAGGTGGAGGAGTCACCATCCCTGGAGGTGTTTAAGGAAAGGCTGGATGTGGCACTTAGTGCCATGGTCTAGCCGATGTGGTAATGTTAGGTCATAGGCTGGACTTGATGATCTCAGAGGTCTTTTCCAGCCTCAATAATTCTGTGATTCTGTGTGATATCCTCCTGACAGTGCAGTGCTGTATGGCTACAGCAGCTCACCAGCTGAAAGAATTAAGGTGTTTTTATCCAAGGTCTGGCTGCTTTAGCTGAGATGCTCTCCAGACACAGCTGTACTGCTTACTCAGCTCCATCCCCACACTTTTGCACCATAATCCACTCCATAACTTCCATTTGGCCTTCAGGTTTCGCTGTTGGCTGCATTTCTCTCAAGGTAAAGGTGAGTTGAGGTGTACAAATTCACAGCCTGCACTCCTGTCTGACACTCAGGTAGATGGTGCTACTTGTACTTCTGTTTAGTAGAAAAAGCTAAACTTCTTTCCCTCCACACACTGAGTTAAGAATGAGATCATTTCATATTTTGGTAGATTTTGAGAACTTTCATGTTATCCCACCATTGGTGAGGGAGGGCCTGGTTCCAGTGTTTGTTGTGTTTGTCTTTTCTAATTTTAGAGAGCATACTGCCACTGTCTCAAACAGGCACAGTAAATTAAGTATTGTAGGTGGAATCACGGTCCAACCAAATTTAGGTGGTAGCAAACATTAATTAATATCTGAAAATGCATCAAACAGAAAAAGCTAAATGAAACTGAGGGAGGAGGATTTCTTCTTCATGCATTCCTAAGGGATTTTTTTGCCTCCATGTGCCTTCAAGATTTAGCAAATATATCCTCAAGAAATGAGGTATTTTGTTATAAATTTAATTCCATTCCTTCTGCACTTGGGCAAAATGTTCAAATCAATCTACCCCTTAGTGAATAAACTGAACAGCATTTATCCATGCCTTGCATTGTATGTATCTAATCATGCCCTCTTCTTAAAGTCGACTTTTTTAGAGAAAACATGTAGTCCATAGACTATTTTACAGTGCATCTGCAAGGTGTAATTTAATGTGCCCTTCTGTGAACTTTCATGCAGAACATGTCAGTGAATTACATACTTAACCATACAAGACATTGCCCTAACAATTCCGTCTTCAGAAAGGTTAGTTGGGTTTTTTTGATAATGTGTGAATTATTGAGATAGCTTATTTGAAAAGTGGTGAAAAGAGGAAAACCTTGTGCAGATGGAGACATAAGGTTTTTTAAACTGAGTTTTTTAACGATTCAGAGTACTTTTTGAAGATGCTGTATCAGTAATATAATTAAACAGCCTCTCATCTATTAAAAAAAAGTTATTCCTGATAGTAATAGGGACTTGTTCTAACCCTATTCAGTATAAACCTGTTATATAGTAACTAAAGTATTCTTTCTTAGTTCTGCAGATTTCATTTAATATTTATCTTTTTTTTCAATTACTGAAGTAATTTATATAAATTCAGTTTAATCAATATAGAAATTAATATTCTTTTTATTTTTTTCCTGCTCTTTTCCCTCTGCTTCTCCGTAATGTTAGCATCTTCTCCAAAGGCACCAAGAAAGCAATTTATAGATTCCTCTTTTTACAGACCATGGATTATGCGATTTGACTTTGAAGTAAGTCAAACTAGCAATGTCCATGTTCAGGAGGTTAGATTGCAGAAACACCTCAAATAAGATTATCACAACGCTCTGCAATTTTTATTAATAACTTAAGATGTAAATTGTCACTGAATTCTAAACTGCATATAACAGATATCCTAGAAGATATCCTATCTTTATAAAAAAGAAATGCTTTTTTAATAAAAAATATATGTTGTTTGTTGTTTTGTTTTTTTTTTCCCATGCCACTAGCACAAACTCATAGTCCAGGATTGTATTTATCCATGCTGCAATTTTACTTGGATTTCACCTTGCATATTTTGACTGGCAAGTGTATTTTTGGTGCTGTGTTTTGTTTGAGATGAGGTGGAAGGGCTGAGGAAGGAGATTTTTTCTCATCCAAGTTGAGGATGGCCACACCATACAGATGTGAGATCCCTTTAATTAAGTCAGACGAAGCTGCATCGAATGGGCTGGTATCCGAGTGCACTGTGAAGACAGCTGAGCTGTCGGTGCTGTACTTTAATTAGAACTTTTAATATTTCATCCCTTACTACCTGAAGTGTGACCTGTCAAGCTGCTGAGAGGCTGCCCCTTCTTGACAGAGGTGCAGCTTCGAGTCCAGGACTCGCATGCACTTGCATCCAATTTGTGTACAACCACTTGGTGTTTTTGTTGTGTTTTCTTTCTGTCTACGAGAGCAGGAAATCGCAGATTTGTTAATGTTAAAGGATATTTGGGACTTGTTAAATAGTTCATCAAAAGCCAGCCCAGATCTCCTGACCCTTTCACAACTGATTTGAGAGTGTCTATCAGTTTTGCTCCCTCAAAGATGTGATTTATTATAAAGCTTTAGAGGCAAAAGAGACAGCTGGATATAGGACAGAGATCCAAATGAGGGTATGGTCCCACAAGCTGGATTTAACTGACTTACTGTCTTTTCATGGCTGAATGGGGAATGTCCATTTCCCCCCATCATATTTCTGCCTTTCCCATCTCCATGTTCTTCCTTTCCTTGTCCCCAGAAGGTCCTCCAAAAGGTGGCAGGGTAGGGAGTACAGGGGTGGGGAAGACAGGCGGCAGTTTATGTGATTTCTCTGTAAATGGCTTGGTGTGTCTGGGTCTGCTTTGTGTCACCCTCTGAAGTTCCTTCCAGGGAGTGAGTGTCATTAAAGAGTTAATTACCCCATGCAAAAGCCCGTTGAAATTGAGAGATAAATGCATAGGACTAGTAGTTTTTCACATCTAGGGTTTGCTATTAAGTATGTAAATGGCGTGCAACTTGTAGCTTGACAACTGGCTCCCTTCTTGGTGTTGATCAGAGCTGTGCATACCCTGCAGCTGGTGCACTGAACTGAAGCCGTGGAGCTGTTGTTTGATGCAGTTCCCAGGGGACATTAAAATATTTCATACACAAAGCTGCTTGATCTCTAGCTCTATAGTCTTTGACACTGTCTTACTCTAGCCCAATTTCTTGGTATTAACATAGCATAAAGTCTGAGTTGTGTCATTCTCTCTCTAATCTTCTCTTACTTTTTAATAATTTGATCAAATAATGTTTTTTTCTGCCTGAATTCTACAGAGGTGTATAGTCTCTGCACTCTCTACATGTATTTTGCGGGTCTTTGTCATAAACCATTGTGGTACCAGTGCACAGAGACACCAGTGATGCACTATAATTTGTAACAGTGAGAGCTGATATAATCCCTGTCCTAAGTTTTCCATGTTGTAATGTAGTTTGTATGACAGTTTAAGGAAGAAACCACAGCAGAGAAGAAGGACCCATTCTTCAACACACACAGAGGATGGGATGCAACTTCACCAAAGTGCCATGAAGGAATTACAAAGAATCTAATTGGAATAATTCTGAATAGAAACAAACCTCTCAGTTCAAATTTATATTTAGCAGGGAGTTAAGGAAAATTATTTTTGAAATTATTTAGGAGGGTAGCATTAGTTTAATAGGGAAATTTAGAATTTGTCCTCAAAAGAAAATTTGATCATCAACAAAAAAATGGCCAATAACCAATAAATGTTGTCTTGCATTCCCATCTGGTGCATCCCTGAAAATCTGAAACTGAACATAGAAAACTCTAGTGCCAGCCCACCTCTCTGCTTTTTTCCCAGCACTTTTTCAACAAAAACCATCTGTTTAGTTTGATTGAAATATTTTTTTACATTTTTTTATTGCTGAGTTGTTTTACCTGAAAATAATACAGAAATTAAAAACCACTTTAAAGGCTGTTTTTACATTTATTTATACTGTCAGAGCACATTAGAGATTTAACTTAGTGAAAAAAAAAATTAAATAGAACTAAGTATATATACAAAGGAATTGTTTCACTTTCTTGATATTCTTTAAAAAATGACAATTTGATTTTACTAGTTAATTTTTGGTAAGTAATCTGAAAAAAAAGTTATTCTTACATTCTAGTAAATGAAAGGGGAGGTGTCTTTACTAAATTTTCTTTGTCCAGCTGAGTACAAATAGTGCATACATAGCATAAAGTCTGAGTTGTGTCATTCTCTCTCTAATCTTCTCTTACTTTTTAATAATTTGATCAACTGTTTTACAAAATTTGTATCAAAGTGATAGTGCCTCTTTAAAGCAAAATTACCAGTTTAAAGTTTGCAATCTACGTATGCATTACAAATCCTAATTATTAACTAAAAGTTATGCCTGTGATTCCTGCATAACAATAATCATCACAAAGCAATAATGACCCTGTCCTTTTTTCCACCTTCTACTCTCTCTAGAGTTACATCTATAATGATCCTATCAGGTACTACATGATGCAAAAACCTAAAGAAAAAGCACCTCCATCCCATCAAAAGCACGCTGAAAATCTCCGTGGGAGGACCTTCAACCAGCCTCAGCCAGAGTCAGAAATGGGGCTTGACCAAAAAACTCTGATGGCTGCACTGCACACATACATCACCCAGAACTTGTCAGCACAAAACAACGAGAAAAGCTCTCACAGCAGGACTAAAGGGTCTCACGTTCAAGCTGATAGATTCTACACTTCACAAGTGAGTCCTTTTGATGGAATTTTTGCCAAAGGAAAAGCAGAACATTTTCAAATGAAGAAGCTGTTCCAGCCAGGACCTGCATCTGGGGTGCTGGGGCCAACACCTGAGATGCTGAATCACAAATCTGCTTCCCAGGATGATCCAAAGGACCCTCTAAGCACAGTGGATGGTAAACCTGATATTTACTTATTTTCACTTAGCTGAAGTTTCCCTCATGTTCACTGAGCATTTCTGAGGAAAAAAAAAAAAAATTAGACATTCTGATCTATCTCCTACTATTGGCATACTTATATCTACCATAATACTCACAGTAATAATATTCACTATTCTAACTTCTC